GTCGTTCTTCTTGTCACATATTTTAGTGACGATCGCAGGTGCTGCATAGGGTGTGTCCAGCTGTAAGCATAGACCAGTGATGGGACAGACGTACTCATCATTCGCGCAGCTGTCGTCACCTGTTTATAAGAAAAATGTTATAATTATAGAAAAAAAAATTGAAAATAAAAAATTTTATTCATCATTATTATAATGATCAAAAAAATTAATTTTCGAGGTTAAACAACTTACACATATTGTTCGTTTGAGCCTTTCACGCAATATTTTGAGAGGCCATCAAAAAAGCACAAAAACTATGTAGTGATGCTTATTTGATATAATTGCTGACTTTCGAAGAAAACGGAATATTTATGCGCAGTTTGGTTTTTTTATTCAGTCTATTTTCACCAATCGAAATGAAAATTTTCCACAAATTTTTTATAACCCATTGAAGATATTGACATCTTGAGTTCAAGTGTACAAAGATATTTCAACTCCAATTATTTTTTGTAAAGATCTGGTGGATTGAAAATTGCATATATTGCCATGTTCTGGACTAAATTATGCTCGCTTTTAAGAATTTATTGAAAATGCTGAGAGCGTCACGCAAATTCTTTATGCGCGGCGAGTTATCCCGCTCAGCAAAATTGTTCCAAATTTAATTGGTCGCATTAATTTCGTACGACTCAAAAACCTACACTTTGATATTGTCCAAAATGTATAGGTTTTCAATATTTTCTTTTCCGAAAACCTATTTGATATGAGTTAGGGAGACCTTGGCACATTCAGGGCGTTGCCCTGATATACGAGCAGTCTTGTTATTACTGTTTCAACTTTCAAAAAGAAAGTAGGGAATATTTGTGCTCGGGTGGGTTTTTTCTGCTTCTGACAAATTTCGACTTTTTAACTAGCCATTTTTGACTGAATTTTTTTTAAAAAACCATTCAAAAGATTTTGTTGTCTTGAGCTCATAATTCAAAATGTTTTTCACTGTGATCATCTTTTGCAAAGTTATGGGGGTTTAAAGATTGCCATTTAGGCTAATTTTGCGATATATTTCGCGCTATTAACGTGTAAGCGGAGAATTAATCCGTCTTAGAAATCGTTCCAAATTGGTTGAAGAAGCTTATTTACTTTCTGCCATAATTGATATGTTACTACGAGCGAAATTACTTTTTACATTGTATGGCGTGTGGGGTGATGATTTTCACAAAAAGCCTCAAATAAAAAAATAATTGTAATTTTATTACAGTAAATTTTTTCATGTTATTACTACCTCATATACCTTAAAAGGCTGTCGGAAATTTCAGGGCTTGGCCCTGATACGAGCAGTCTTGTGATTATTATGATTTTTTCGAAGTTTCAATTGTCGAGAAAATAATTCTTTCTACTTTCGAGGAAATGCGGTTTAGTTTTCCTTGGAGAGTTTTTTGGACATGCTCCATTGTATTTCTATACATATAATATATCTTTACAAAAACAAGCATCCGATCTGAATTGAGACTACCTAATCGGTCGTACTACTTATCAAACTTCCACACTTGTTGACTGATGTTGTCTAAGACTTATGGGTTTTTAGCATTGTGTTCACCATTAACTATTTGATACCAAATAAGGGAAAGTCGGAATGTTCGGGTATTTGCAACGGGTAAACAAATAAGCTTGTTCAAATGTTTGATATCATTTATCATATCGACCTTTACTATGTATATTAAATGCAAGACTTCGTCTCTTCAATTTTAAATAACAAGGCTGCTTGTATCAGGGCAAAACCCTGAATATTCCGACTGCCTTTTAATCTCTATGAAGTATTGTTTGCTTTAAAAATAAGTTAACGACGTTTTCAAAAAATTGAATTTTTCAAATTAAATTTTAACTGTTTTTTAGATTTAATTGCAAAAATCATCCCGCCATTACCCATGTTAAGTACAAAAGGATATATTTTACTTGAAACAAAGTAGTAAGTAGACCAAAAACAAGCCTCAATTTGGAGCGATTTCAAAATTGGATTAAGCGTATGCTTACGCGTTAATAGCACTAATCGCGCGTTATCTGCCCCAAATTGGCAGTATTCAAACACCCATAACTTTACGAAAAACGATCACAGTTGAAATATCTTGTTGACTTTGAGCTCAATAACACAAAACCTTTCGGATAATATAATAACCATCAAAATTCCTGGCTAAAGAAAAAACGATATTTTTCTTGAGAAAAAAACCACCCCGAGGATAAATATTTTGTCACATTCATTGAAAATCAGAACAAAAAAATTAGACGGCATTCTGCTAGAATGGTCAGTATACTTAAACAGAAATCTTGAAATTAATGTGAAAAAAAACACAGCAGCATTTGAGCAATTTATTCAACCAAAACGTAAATTTTAAATGAGAAACGAGCTGAGATCAGAAAAAAATGTGACCAAACCAAGCAAAAATATCTGCTTATTTCAGAAAAGTATCTTCCTTTACCTGAAAATTACTGACAAAAAAGCAGAAAAAGACTAAATACACTGAAAAGGCGGAAAAAGGGAAAGCGTTTAATCTTTAAACTTCACTTAATGACACTTCTTTCATAACAAAAATTAGAATTCATATACAAGTTATTACTTTTTCGGACGACAAAGATTATTGTTTTTAGTTTAGAGAAACATTGAAATTTCTCTTCAATTTATTAATGGTAAAAACGAAGAAAGAAACATTTACAACAAAGATGAAAAAAAAATGGAATGAATGAAGTAGTTAATCTTTGAGATAGCTACTCACTCACTCCACGGGAAAAAATTGTAAAAAAAGACTTACTTCTTAGCAAACTTTTGAATATTAGTTAGTCAAACTAAACTAAACGCCTTGATATTATTCCACTTAAAAAAAGCAATTTTTCGACAAAAAAGTGAAATTTGAAGATTTGCAAACTATATGAAAATTTTGGGAATCATCTGGAAATTAATATTTTTTTGGCAGTATTCAGCTTTTTTGAGAATTTTTAGGCAATCAACTAGATGTTTAATTAATTAGTTAACTAGATCTGGACAAGACTTTTGAGATTTTTTGAAAAATCATCCATTATTGGATTTTTGATGGTTTATGAAAAACGATCATTAAATTTTGATGTTTTTTAATCAATCATCCATTGCTAGCTTTTTGAAGTTTTTTTGGCAATAATTTGACTTACAATTGGCTTCGTCCTCCATTGTCGGGCAGTCTTTGTTGTTGTCGCAGAGTAGAGTGTCGGCTATGCAGGATCCGTCGTCACACAGGAACTGGGCGGGTGTACACGTGGAGCCTAAGAAGAGAAGGTCGCTTAGCTAATCGGATTACGTCATACCATTATGTCATCATAGTTCTTGAAAAGGTACGAGAAAAAATGCTAGTCCAATAATGGAAAAAACAAGTCATACAAATCAAACCATACAAAAAATGTTACTCAGAAAATTGTAATTATGGAAAAATAGTAGCCTTACAACTCCGTTAATGGAAAAATGGTAATTCTAAAATTGAAATGAAAAAAATAACCATGCAATTTCCATTCATTTTTAAAAATAAAATTGTAGGGTACTGTATTTGTTTTTGTCAATGCAGATTTTTTTTCTACTTAAAAAAGACCTAAGATTTTCAAGTTATTATGAATCTGTTTTTGAAATGCATAACATTATTTTCAGATATTCTAAAATATCTTTTATCCTTTTTAAAACAATAAAAACAATTATTGATAGCAAAAAATATGCATAAAAATTAGGAGTTCGCATAAAGTCTCAAACGGTGGATGGGACTGATACGGCCTCAAAACAAAAACTTGATATTTTCATGCATATTATTTGCTTACATTATCTATTTTTATTGTTTCAAAGAAATTAAATTATGTTCCAGATGTTTCAGAATGTTTGAAAAAGAAATTTTGGAAAAAGAAGAAATTATTAGATATTGGTGGGGGTGGGGGGGATTTAGCTAGCTAGTTGCTTCACCAATTTGTGCTTACATCCTAATTCGTCGTTGTATCTGGTGACATTGCAGTCTGGAACCCCATCACAGAGAACTGCCTCGTTCACACACACATGGCCACCAGCCAAAGTTGTATTACACGTGAACTAAACACTCAAAAGTCATCACAAAATCAAGGTCAAATATGAGAGAAAGGAAGCAGGTCTGAATAAGAGCCAACTCCCTACCTCCTTGCTAAATATAGACTAAGTGAAAATCCTTCACCACATTTTTTATAATTGTCGAAAGCTATCGTTGTCCTGAGCTTAAATTTGAAAAGATACTTCACCTGTGATCATTTTTCGTAAAATTATGAGGGTTTAAAGATTGCCATTTTGACCAATTTGGGACAATTAACGCGCGATATATTTTGCGCTATTAACGCGTAAGCGCAGAGTTAATCCGTCTTAGAAATCGTTCCAATTTGGGACAATTAACGCGCGATATATTTCACGCTATTAACGCGTAAGCGCAGAATTAATCCGTCTTAGAAATCGTTCCAAATTGGTTGAAAGAAGCTTATTTGCCATATTTAATTTGTTACAAGGAGCGATATCTATCTTTTTGAATTTTATATGGCGTGTGGGGGGATGGTTTTCAAAAAAATTTTCAAATTTCAGAATTTTTTTTTTCATTTTGTTGTATATCATTTAATTTTATAAAATTTTATAATGTTATTACTGCTCCATATAGCTTAAAAGGAAGTCGGAACATTCAGGGCTTCGACCTGATACGAGCAGTCTTATTGTTCCGACTTTCGATACGAAAGTAACGGAATATTAGTGCTCGGGGTGGGTTTTTTTTTCTTCAGACAAATTTCGACTTTTTAACTAGCCATTTTTGACGAAATTGTTTTATCATTCGAAAGGTATTGTTGTCCTGAGCTCAAATTTGAAAAGATATTTCACCTGTGATCATTTTTCGTAAAGTTACGGGGGTTTAAAAATTTGGGACAATTAACGCGCGATATTTCGCGCTATTAACGCGTAAGCGGAGAGTTAATCCGTCTTAGAAATCGTTCCAAATTGGTAAAAAGAAGCTTATTTGACATAATTGGTTTGTTACAAGGAGCGAAATCTATCCTTTTGCACTTTAAATGGCGTGTGGGGGGGATGATTTTTATTTAAAAAAAATTCAAATTTTAGAAATTTTTTTTTTCATTTTGTTTTATTTCATTGAATTTTTTAATGTTATTACTGCTTCATAAACCTTAAAAGGCAGTCGGAACATTCAGGGCTTCGCTCTGATACGAGCACTCTTGTTGTTCCGACCTTCGATACGAAAGTAACGAAATATTTGTACTCGGGGTGGGTTTTTTTTTTTCTTCAGACAAATTTCGACTTTTTAACTAGCCATTTTTGACGGAATTTTTTTATATCATTCAAAAGATATTGTTGTCCTGAGCTTAAATTTGAAAAGATATTTCACCTGTGATCATTTTTTGTAAAGTTATGAGGGTTTAAATATTGCCATTTTGGCCATTTTGACCAATTTGGGATAATTAACGCGCGATATAATTCGCGCTATTAACGCGTAAGCGGAGTTTTAATCCGTCTTATAAATCGTTCCAAAATGGTTGAACGAAGCTTATTTGCCATAATTGATGTGTTACAAGGAACGAAAACTATCTTTTTGTACTTTATATGGCGTGTGGGGGGATGATTTTCATAAAAAATTTCAAATTTTAGGAAAATTTTTTTTCATTTTATTTTATTTCATGTAATGTTTTTATGTTATTACTGCTGCTACATAAACCTTCAAAAGCAGTCGGAACATTCAGGGCTTCGCCCTGATGCGAGCAGTCTTGTTTAATTTTATGTTCAATTCAATATTAAATTGATATAAAACAATGTTGTGATACTGATATCATGCCCACGTTCCATATTTTTGTGTGCTTATATTTAACTTTCAACATTGAGTTGGTTTATTGTTTTTGACCTTTTTAGTGACCTTCCAATAAGTTTTTTTCAAGATGTTTTTTTTTAATTTTTTTTTGTGTAAATCTAAGCAAATAGTTCCCTTTTTGAAAGCAAATTTATTTCATTTTCTTTTGCTAGTTAAATCTGCAGTTGTTTACTTGATTTCATTTTTTATAAATATTAATGTTTTGGTTCATAACCTGTAGATTGGTTTGTTTACTTGACTTAATCCACAGGCGGCGTGGCAGTTGAGTTCGTCGGAGAAGTCGTCGCAGTCGTTGTCCCCGTCGCATGTCTCCGCCAGAGTCACACAGGTGGAGTTGTCCTTGCACTGCACTTTAGTCTTGTCCCCACTTGCACCACACTCACCCGCAGATTGGTAGCCTGAAATCCATTTCAAGTTTTTTTTCTATTATAAAACAATTTCCAAAACTTATTATTCAACTAATTCTTAGATGCATTCAACACTATCTAGTTATACTTAAAAAAATGGTTTCCAACACTTATTATTTATCATATTCTGAAATGCCTTCAACACTTTTTAGCTATAATAAATACAAAATTGTTTGAAAATTTTATCGCTCATTTTATTCTGAGATGCATTCAACAAGTTTTAGTTAACACCAAAACGCTTAATGATATCCAGACGCTGTTTGTTATCCGTCCATAATTAAGACTAACAACAATGACATGTAACTGAAATGAATGAGCAATGACTCACATCCGACTTCGTCCACGTAGTGGTAGTCTGGTCCACAGTCATTGTTCATGTCACACACTTTGTCAGTACACAACACTCCCCCACAGTACACTTCAGTCGGGCCACAGTTGCTGTTGCAGCCTATAATTCAATAAAACATAACTCCCTATTTTTTAACTACCCCCTTTTAACTACCCAATCTTCTTCTTCACTCACCCCCTTTTTTTAACTGTAGTTTGCTGGTTGCAGTTACGAAATTTTACCAATTAGAAGTTTTGTCCGCGTTTCATGTCTAGACGGGGGCAAAATTCATGCCGTTTATTCGCTCTTTTCCCTATGATTTTTTCTGAAATTCACTGTATGAAGGTCAATTTAAAAAAAAAAAACTTTTCATGTGAAAAACAGCATCAAAACTTATCAGCTTGAACAGGTGAAAAAACTTTTACAACATTTCTTTCATGCAAAATGCCGTGTGAACAATTGATGAACAGTTTTATTCTGTAATTTTACAAGGGGGTGGAAAACTTCAAAAGAGCCCGGTTTTTTTTCTGATTTACACTTTGTCAGTAAGAGAAAAAATGTGACAAGGCAAAAAAAGAAATAATTTTTTGTCGAAAAACGTTTCGAAGTATTCTAAATTCAGTTAACTTCCCAGCGAGTGATTTTTGGGGGCAAAATTAACTTATTTTTAATCAAGCTCGAAGATGTCTTGTGTTTATTTACTTGATTGTTATTATCGGTATTTTTACGTAGGAAAGTTTTTCCATTTAGGGACTCCGATAAGATGTCAAAGGCAAAAAAGTTTTTTCAAAGGAAAGATAAAACGTTCAAAGTCTTATACAGTGAATTTCGAAGTCAACGAATGGAATTTTTAGGCGAAACCGACAACGTCTTGATGCTTACTTATTTTTAATAGAAAAATCATGAAAATCAAATAAAAAGACAAAAGATGCATGTCGTGTTTTGTCCTCATATTTGGTTGTTCTCATAGTTATTCGACCTGACTGCTATGATAACAAGTTTTTTTATCTACTTAACCATCTACCCCCCCCCCCTTCTATGGTATCTACTGAAGAATTGCCCCCCTCCCATTAATAAAAGCAGTAAATTAGCACTAGATCGTGTAAAATTCCAATTTTGGCGCATTCTGATTGGTCGAAAAATCGACTAACTTAATCTACCTAATAATTACCCCCCGTGAAAGTTGAAAGGGGGATAATTAATAATTAGATTCAGTTCTTGTTATTTATTATACCTAGCTCGTCGCGCATGTCTTCGCAGTCGTTCACACCGTCACACACTTTTGCAGTCCCTGAGCCATCTGCGAGCATGCAAGTACCAGAAGCCGGACACTTGAACTCATTTGAGGCACAAGACACATCACCTGAAAAAATGAACGAAAGTGAGGCAAAGAAAATTGAATCGTTAGATGGTGCAAGTTTTTTTTGAGAGAAAGCAATGGATAAACTAAATTGGCATTAAAGCAGAATTCATTTTATCTAGTTTAATTTGAACAACAAAAAATAGGATGACCAAAAAACCAATGAGCTGATGACTATAAGTTTAATTTTTGATAGAGTTTGATTTCGCGATCAACGATCAGAACAAAAAAATGACGATGACGAGGAACACGAAAGCCAGGGGGAAGAAATTGCCAAGCATGACATACAAACAGAAAAATGATGACATAAAGTCCTATCGGGACTATAAAACTCAAACTTATTAGTACCAAGGGGACTTTAAAACTCAATTTAACAAACAAAAGTTTATAAAATTTTGTTGTCAAGGGGGAATGTCATCCGGCCTGGATCGACAAACTAACCTTATATGTATGTTATTTATATTATTAATAATCTTATGCTAAACGCCCAGACGGCCGGTCACTTGACCTTGATAGACAGAGAGGACGAACTTTATTTGAAATAAGAATCAGAGTTGAATTATCTGTCAACTAGTCGTTTTATATCGCTCCGACTGAGAAACAAGGTTTATCGATCCATTCGGATTCAAGAATTAGAATATCATACCCTCCGGTATGACACTAGTAATGGAATTTGTCTTTTTGATAATATCTTTATAAATGACGACAAGGAATTTTAGTTTTTTTTTCGGATTAGATTAAATACAAGATTAGATTTTGAAATCTCAATTAAAACTTACAAGCTCACGACTAATTTTTATGCAATAAATCAGGGGCGGATTTAGGGGGGACTTCGCGCTACTTGCGCATCTGCTATGCTTTGATTATATAACACATTATGTCACAAATTATAATCCATTATTATAAATTCGACTGTTTTCCTCATTGCCATCATGAATACTCACATCCTGCCTCGTCCTGATAGTGCCATGGCGTGGCTCCCCCGTATTGCCCACAGTCATTGTACCCATCACACACTTTGGTGTAGTCCACACACTGCACTATGGTCCCTGCTGGGTTCCTACACGCAAACTGGGTCGATGTACAGGTGAAGGACGCGTCATGGCCTATAAAAATATCATTATCCACATAGAGAATAGTTAGCATAGTGGAAAGACGGGGTGACTTACAGATGGCCAGATCTAGGATCGATTCCCTGCCATGGCAAGAATAGAGTGCGTAAGGACTAGTTTTAGTTGACTTCCTCAGCATGGCCAATTTAGGCTGCAATAGTACCACGTAAAATTTCTAGACGCAAAAAAGACCTGCTTTAAAACTCCAAAACTTGAGATTCACCCGGGAAAAATTAAATCAGGCTGGAATCTGGAAATGACAGAAGCCGACTATTCTTAATTATTTGCTTTTTATGGAGAACTTAGGACAATGAAAGAGAATCAAGACACGAGGCGTTCAGATTTTTTCGGCGAAAACGCTGCTGTTCCCCTGCATAAGAAAATTTCCTGGGTAAGGACTGCACGCTTTGTTCCTTTTTCTGAAAAAAAGAGGTATTCCAAGAACCCAATCAATATAATTCCTAAGCTAAAAATTTCATAATTTGTTTTTTTTTTGCCATGAGAAAAAGAAATAGAAATTTGGCGTTCTGTTCTTCCAAGATGGGTTTGCTTTTTTTGAAAAATGTTTGCAAATTTTAAACAAAATGGTCCGTTCTTGAAAACAATTTAAATATTTATTTTGGGTAATTTCAAAATTCAAAACCCACATCCGAGTTCGTCTCTGAATCTGGTGAGGTCTTGGGTGGCCCCACAGTCATTGACCCCGTCACACAAACTGGCCTTTGCCACGTTCACTGAGCGGTAGGTGGTTGTCCCGTCGTCATGGAAACAGGAGTACTGCGGGTGTGTCAGGAAACCTGTTGCGAAACAGTTATAGTTAAAATCTGCAAGAGAGAAAAAGATACATTTTGCACCAAAAATAAGGTGGGTAAGGACATCTACATTAAAGAAATAGGAGAAAAAATTGAATTCGTCACCCTAAAATCAGGGTGAAAAATTGAATTCAGCGTTTCATTTTAATAATTGTTTCGTAAATTCATTAAGACGACTAATCTTTCAGCTAATTATGACCCCTTCAAAATTAGGAACTGAAGTATTAGGAACTGAAAATTCGTATAACTGAAGTAGATGCAATATGTATACAAAAAAGCAATGGACCTGACCCCCCTCCAATCAATAGGCTACTGATACCCCCCTGACAGGATACTATGTGTTGTACTGACAGTTGTACTCGTCGCTGAAGTCCCCGCAGTCGTTCACTCCGTCACAGAGGGTGGTGTTGGCCTTGCAGCCATTCGCCTCTGGTCTGGTGCCGTCATTGAAGCCGCACAGGAACTCGTTCGCCGCACAATTGGTCGTACCCGCTTCGCCTATACGGGGGGCAAGTTAATTACAAACAATATATGGGGGCAAGGTAATAAATTTACTAAAGAGGACATAGTTTAGTAAGTTTATTACTACACTAGGAGTATGTTTTTAGTTGTTTATTATTATTTATTAGCTATTTATAGAAATTATTTTCTTAGACCATTGGAACATTTGATAGAACAGTTGGAGCTGTTTAGTTAGTATAGATTCTAAATACTTCTAGGAAATAACTTATAACATAAAAATAACAAACTAGAATTAATTTAAAAAATAAATTTAAAAAAGAATAAAAGGAAAAATAGTAATATATATCTACAATATACTGTAAATGAATCAACAAGGACAAAAAAAAGAAAAAAGATTGTAAAAAAGGATACAAAATGAACAATTTAAATGATAGGATATAAAATGACTAAAAAGAAGAAGATTACATTAAAAAACCCATTCATTAATTAAAAACTGAATGAAAAATAAAATAAAAACTTTGGGATGAAATTATAAAGAAAAAAAGACGAAATCAAGACGTGTCTGTCTTCAAATCAATGCAGCCAATCGGCCCTCGTCCGATGAGCCAATTTTGAACCGTGAAAAGTGAATCACATCCTCCGAGTATGTAAGTATGTTCCGACCGTCTCTGCTCCTGGTCCGTTTTTTCGATATCTGAAATTAAAGAGTTGGTGTATCCCTCAGAGTTTACGAAACTTTAATTTCAGCAGAATACTTTCAGCGTCTGCTTAAACCGTAAGTTTGCTCACTTTTGAGCCAGTTTCCTGCAACTCGCAATATTTTTAGAGTTAAAATCAAAATATCTTTTTCATGCAAATAATATTCAAACAACGGATCGACAAACAAACTTAAAGAAAAAAGTTCTTCCATGATAAAAAAACTCACCAAATTTGCTGAATTTTCCCTATCTGGTAACGCTAGAAAGTAAATTTTGAAAACAAAAGCTGCACAAATATCAATTTTCTTGACTTGTAAGTAATTTTTAGTAACCAAAAGCTATAAAACATGCTCAATTTGACAATTTGCGAATAAAAATGAGAAAGTGGACAAAAAATAAGAAGCAATTATCAAACTAAAGCTAAAACTCAAGATAAAAAGCAGCAAAAACTGAACAATTGAAAATATTAAACGCAGTCGACTAGTTGTCGCAGACAAAAAAAGTAGCAGTTTAAGAATACTTATTCGAAGACAGTTGAGCAAAAAATGATAATTACATTCAAAACACCACTTTTAATATGTGCATTGAGTAGTTTCAATTTCTGACAAAAGTAAGTAAAATATCAAGTTTTGTGTGTGATAGACTGTCGTCAAAAATCCTTTGACGTCAATAAGAATTGGCAAACTTTCCAAAAAATGACATTTTATGAAGTCTTTATTATAATTAATCTATATTAAGAAGTCTGCTTTTTTTGAGCAGAAGCGCATAAGCAATTTTAAAAATACGCTTCACTTGCATTTATATTTCTTATGTATAAAAATAAAGCAAAATTTTATTTTTTTGGCGGAAAATCGCATTCACGATACATGCTAAAACATCGGACTTAGCCAACACAAGGCGCGCGACTAATTTACAGACTTTCAAAGTCGCGCCGATAAAATATTTGCGCGAAAGAAAATATCGCGTTACTTTTGCGTTTTTTAAAACCTGCTTGCTCTAATTTTGGGTATTTTCTGGGCTGAATATGTTTTTTGAGAGTTTGGTTATGGTTTAATAGCCGCGGACATTGTAAAGTCGCACTTTTCTGGAAAATAGTTGCCAAAAGTTGAAAATCTGGATGTAGGGTTGCAATCATTTGGAAATTAGTCGAAGAGTCCGCTACAGTCCGGAAGTTAGGCGCAAACCTGGAAGCTACACATTAATTCAAAAAAAAATAGAGAAGCGATTTAATTGAAAAAAAAATAGTGGTGTTTGAGAATTTGAGATCACATTGTGGAAGCTTCAAAAACTAATTCAACGGCTAATCATTTGTAAAACTTGTGCATTGCAATGAAACCCCCCTTTTGCAATGAGTCGGGTGGGGGCTAACAAGATTTCTCACGTTGAGTTTTAATGTCACAAGCTTGTTTGTGTTTTGCTTCAAAAATGGATTTACAACCATGATTAAGCATGGATTTAAAGCGCGTTTTAGTAGTTTTTGTCTGACAATAGGCGCAACAATTCAAAGAATCATATAAAACTGAAACTGACAGATATGATAAACTAACTCTACCTAAATCTTATCTCTTATCTGATATCCCAATATCAATTCACACTGAATCTAAAGATGTGAAAATACGCTTTCAAAAATCTGATTTACAACCATGCGAATTTTATTTCAAAGTTTATAGGTTCAAATAGTACCTTAGTTTAGTTCCAGGATTGATGTTTTTGAATGAGGCCAAACTTATAACAATCATCTCAGATTGTTTTTTACACGAGACTAGTTGGTTTTCCATACAAATTAGTCTCCATTGAAACTGACAAAATCAGGATATTCATCTAAGAAATGAACTCCCTCAACGTTTTGATAATTTTGCTGTCCCACTTTTGTTCCGTCCAATCTTGGAAACTTCCCGAGTTAATCAGAGAAAACGAGACTAAAAACAACAAAACTTTCGAAACTCGTTTGAAAAGCGACAGAGGAGTTAAACAGTCGCTCAGAATAATCCACGGGGATGTTTCGAACCCGGGCGATTATCCTTTTGTGGTTAGTTTAATGCAACAAGAGTACGACGAGATGAAGCATTTCTGCGCAGGTGGGGGTTCTTTTCTCTTATACGACCCAAAATTGTTCTTTTTTTTTGCAAAATGGACCAAAAAATGTTCAAATCTGATTGTTAAATTAAGATCTTTTGAAGCATCTTTTACTTGAACTGACCAAAACTTAGTCCATTTTGGCAGATTATTTGATTTTAGCCAGTCATTAAATGTGAGCGTTTAAATTTTGTTCGCATATTTTGAGAAATCGAATTTTTGTGCTTTTTAAATAAAAAGGACCAAGATTAGTTCAGGCAAAAGAAAAAAACTAAAACTCATTTCGAAAAATAGCTAAATTGGGACGTATAAGAGAAAAAACTGCAGGTGTTATTTATAACGAGTACACAGTCATAACTTCTGCATCGTGTATTGAGAACAGACTAGAGAGTGATAATGTGTGGGCTTTGGCTGGTGTCTTTGACCTTGAGAACCCAAGTGGGAGTGAAATGTACTCCAAAGTGATTTCATTCAAGCCTCATGGGAGCTACAAAAGGTTAGTATCTCTTCCATGTATTATTCTACCATCGTTAAAATTATAAAAGCAGTATTCAATATAAACGCAAAAAATACACTGATTTTTGTGAAAACTTCAAAAATTATGTGTTTCTGTTTTTAGGGGACATTTTTTACTGTTTTGCTGAAATCTCTTTCTCTCGCTCTTCTCTCGTGAAAAAAAAACACGCATAAGAAACACGCACATAGAGTCCTTTCCCCTTCATCTCCAATGACCCATGCGAGTTTGAAATGGTGGACTCAAAATTAATTGTTGCAGGTACGCGGACAACTTGGACTATGATGTTGCAATTCTCAAGTTGAGCCATGCCCTGCTCTTCAGCGACTTCATTCAGCCCATCTTCATACCCGTCCATCGATTCAAAGGGATTTGACTTTAGTCTTGATTGTAGACTTAATCCAAGGCTTTGTAGACCTTTTCCAAGTTTTTTTAATGATAACTTGACTGAGTTGAAAAGAATTTTTACAAATGAACTTTAGCGGGTGGAAAAAGAGGAGGGGGAACAAAAATGGGTCGCTCCATTCTAGTCTAGGCCCATGTGAACAATTTTCCCACCCCTCTTTAATGTTAAACGGCAAATTCAACCAGTAAGGCATGTATATACGATGATTGGCTGAAAAAAAAATTACTGTTAACCAAGTGAACCATCTCCTCCCTTATTTGGTTCAGGGGGGGGGGGGGGGTAGATCGTTTACTTGGACAATTTCGATTTCAGACGCAGGTACAAATCACAATTTATTAACAAATTCACTCCGTCAGGGACACTATACAGGCAGACTTGCCTATCTAGTAGCACAACATGCCGGTTTCCTTTAAATGAGAATGGATTTAAAAGAACTTTTAATTAATTAGAAAACAACCACTCATAGAAATTCCGATTGTCTCTTAATATACCACCTTAAAGATTGCAAAAAAAAATCCGAAACTAAGAATCAGACAATTTCTGTAAGTTTTTTCGAATTAAATTGTTTTTCTGCGCAGTTTTATATTATTTATTTAGCTGAACAGAAACAGCTTTAGCCATTTTTTGTGAACATGCTAATTTTACCGGCAAAATAGTTCCAGTCTTTGATTCTGTTGAGCGACGACGAGTGATTGATTCAACATCTAACAAACGATTCGGAGATTTTTTCGAAGCTGGTCAAACCTTTCTTTAAAAATGTGACTAAGGAAAAGTTCAACTTGGTCCCTGGAAATAAAAAGAGATGGGATCAAATTAACGACCCTCCCCCCAAACAGACCAAGTTAAGATCATCCCCCTAAACGGTTAGGGGGGGGGGGTGCTAACTTCAAAAGATGATCCAAAAACAAAGCGAATCCGTTTGAATCAACCAATTAAGGGTCAATTGTGACCGTGATTGGGTGGGGCACAGCGAACGAAGGAAATCTGCAGCCCAGTTCACTCCTGCGACATGCAACTATTCCTGTTATCCCGCCTGCCGAATGTCAGATGATATACGGCGAACAGGGAAGCAATAGAGATATAGATTACAAAATCAGGAGTCTAAAAAATAAAAAATTTGAGTAGAAAGTTGTGACTTGAGCCTCAATTGGATTGCAACGTGCATATCGGAACGATCGAGAGCTTTTATGGGGGGGGGGGGGGGGTTATGGATTCCAAATGGCAAAATTTAAATTTTCAAAAAATATGAGTATTCGACATTTTTGTCGATAGTTTTTTTAGTCCGACCAAATTGACCAAAAAGACTCTAAGTGAAATGATTCTTAAATTTTCTCCAGACCGGGTACCTCAATCGCAGTGGAGTGCACAGAAATTTTTCCAGGGAGGGCGGTGTTTCGAATAATTTTGAAAATTTTGCGGAAGTTCTTTTTAGGTCAACCAAAGGCGCCTTTAGAAAAAATTTGAGGCTGATCAGCCAAAAATGGATGACGTAAAGTCATGCCAAAGGGGGGACTCTTTGAAAACATTGGCAACCAGAATTGAGGGGGGGGGGGTCGGGATGCTACTGGTTATTCATATAATTGTACAGGGTTAGATTTGATTGAATAACAAAGTAGTCTATTTCAGGGGCGGATCTAGGATTTTCTCGAGATTTTCAAAAACAATCCCAAAAAGTTGTCGCGACCTAGAAAAGAGCGACCAAACTGATTTTTGAGCTCTCTCAAATCACTATAAAGACCAATTTTGACCGAATTGTTTGCACCGCAAAAGGCGTTTTTAGGAATTTTTTAAAAAACGAAGACCGAAAAATTGCGTTTTTTCGGCACGTTCTCCCCCTCAAAATTAGTATATTTTGGCACCGAAGGCGCCCTTAGAAAAATTTAGCGTCAGTCAGCCAAAATGGATATCTCAAAATAGTACAAAGGGGGACTCTTTGGGTCGGCAGGGGGTCGAATCCCTGAGGAGAGAGACGTCGCCCCTCCCCCTTAAATCTGCAGATGGTCTATTTAATAAATGACGAATAATTTTTCTGGCTAACCTTTCTGGCTAAGCTCACAACTACTCTGTACAACATTTGCGGTCTAATTATTAATTATTCACACCTGATTAATTAAGTTCGATTCCTGATGTGGTTTTAAAATTGCCATGAAATAAAATAGCCTGATTTTGTAATGTTGTAATGCGTAATGTGACAATAGGCAATCACCGACAAGATGATATGTGCCGGATATCTGCGGGGAGGTGTCGACACCTGTCGTGGTAAGCTGTGCATATTTTTCCCTTTTGACTCGTCTGTTAAGCTCAATTCCATTACCCACCCCCCCCCCCCCCCCACACACACACACACACACACGCATACACACATACACAGCGCAAATTGTCCTTTTCCATAATAATTGTTGATGCTGGTGTAGCAGAATGAGGAAATTTTTGCCCTAAAGAACAATGTTTCGAAAAAAAAATTGTTTCGGAATAGTTAGTTTGATCATCATGAAAAAATTAATTAATTTTCAAAACTGAACTTCAAATGGGGGAGGGTAGCGGTAATGAGCCGCCTGTTAATGTCTAAGCTAAATTTCAAAACCTGATGTTAAAAAAAATTACATCCGCCTCCAAAAATAACTAAATGGATGGTTAATGATATGCTGTTTTTGTACCCAGAAACGAACTCTTTCCTTATTTCGCAATAGGGGGGAGGGGGAGTACTTAAAACGATGAAAGATTTGATAAAAACACAAGAACCTCTTGCGTGTCCAATAACTCCGTTTTGATTGAAGGTGACGGGGGAGGACCTCTGGTCACAATTGGGTGTCACGGGGGAGCATACTGCAACTACGAACTACTGGGCATCGCCTCCTACACCAGTGGGTGTGGCAGACCAAACAGGCCAGGCGTGTACACCAAAATGAATACTTTTGTAGAATGGCTCAGCTACTATTCCACCGACTGAACATAATTATATTCATTTCTTAATAAAATTAATAAATTAATAATATGAAAATTGATGAATTTAAAAAATAAAAATATTTTCAAAAATATTATTAGAATAAATGTTAGGTCTATTTACACAAAATTAAGATGTGATCCACAGAAAAATGACCACAAACTGTTACGGACAGCGGCTACCGTGCATTTAGTTAAAAATGTAATGCAGTTTTTCTTACTTGTTTCAAAAGTTATTTCAAACAAAAGTTAGTTAAAACAATAGTTCAATTATAACGCCGGGAGAGCTCGGTCTTTAAACCACAAGGCCCGATTTCAAAATTTAGTGCATGAAAAGAATAAAAACAGTTCCATTCAGTTTTGTGACAACTGTTTGGGTTTTTGTTTTTGAGAAGTTTGAAGTTTTTTAAAACGTAATTTGTTGACTAAATATTAGTTTGAAAGAAGAAGAACTCAATTTGATCGCATCTTTTTGTTAAAGTTTTCCGATCGAAGTTTTTAGACCAACTAGACTGCTCAAATCAGATTGCAGCCTATAATGTTCCGAATGCCTTTTAAGGTCTATAGAGTAGTGTTCGCTGACAAAAAAAAATTGATGATACAAAATTTACATATAAAAAGTTGAAACAGCTTGCATCAGATTACTTTGAAATCCCTCATCTACACGCTATGTAAAATACAGTGTGATTTTATTTGAATTTAGAAAATTTTTAAAGAGATCAACTAGCATGCCTCGGCTCTTTTTGAATCAATTTATACAACGTATCAAATATCCGCGTAAAAGTTAATAACAAAAAATATCGCGCGTTTATTGTCCCAAATTGAGCAATCTGGTAACATTTAAACTCCCATTACTGATAAGTTAAACTTTAACTGATAAACTTAAATTTAACTTAAACAGTTTTAGTTTTATCTAATTGTTGTGAGAAACTTATTAAATAGATATGTTATGTTTGATGTTTCTGCCTGTTTGAAGGATCTGCCGGTTTGAAGGAGCGCCCTTTGAAGGATTTTATAGACAAGTCTGTCAAGTGGCTTCTTGGGGTGAAAGGTGAAACTGGAACCGGCATGAAGAGTCTGCTGGTGCACCGCTGGACCTATTGAGCTCGAGTGAAATAGTTCCTTGCTTTTGATTTTTGTAGTTCGACTTTAAAATTCAAGTAAATTTAAACGTCTTTTTTTCGTTTTTTAAAATTCCTACGTAAAATGGATAAAAATGATATGTAAAACTCCCATGGGTAACAATTCAATGCTAGATGTTTATGTTAATACTGCCATCTCAAATGTCCGAGTACTCAGGAGAGTACCAAAAGGCTCGCGTCTTCTCTTGGCGGAAAATCTATCGGACAAAATGAAGGATAAGGCAGAGGAGTTTTTTTTGAAGCAAAAAAAGTGGACCCAAACAAACCAAAAGCATGAGCTCTTTGATGAACGAAAAAGCTCGAACAAATGCAGTTTCACTTCCAAAACCCCAACCCCATGTTTCAAGCCCCTCTTTGAGTAACCTCGAGCAGAGAATAAAGCTAAAATGTAGTAACCTCAATGGAAGAAAAAAAAACGATTTGGATAAAAATGGCTGCTTTGGATGATAGAATTGCCTCTTTTTTTAACTGCTAGCTACCATAAACTATTGTTCAAGCACCCCCAGTGAGCCAAATTTGCAGCTCCAAACCTTGACGATTTCGAAAGTTTTTATCGTAACCACACTCGATCTATACAAAGCGTTAATGTCTTTTCCGAACTTCCGTGAAAGTCCGTAAGAAATAGTTCTTCAATTTTTTAAATTTCTTGTTAGTAAGTCGAATGGCAGTGCCGATCTTAATTTTTTGATAAGGCTGACTAAGCTCATAAACTTCATTGGAGTTGACAAAACACTCGAACACATTAGACTTTTCTTTTTCGGCGCCAAGCTTGTCACCCTCATAAAGATAGACGGAGTGTAGAGATCAACTGCGATTGGCAACACGCTAAGGCGCGTGCGTCTAAAAGCGCTGGAAGCAAGACCCTCCCAGAGAGACAAAGCTTTGTCGAAAACCTAAAGGTCGCGTGCGTAACTAAACAAGGAGCAGAAAAAGCTGCACAATCGTTTCGAAACCCAATTGAGTGAGACGACAATCCAAAGTTTACTGTTATTTTAAAACTAGATTCTTGAGAATGCCTTTAACTCTCTAAATCGAGAAAAATGCTGAATTATGTTTCTTAAATCGTCTAGAATTGTACAAATATACCCATTGCGCGTAAAACATACTTGGTTATCTTTTTTTGGAAAATATTTCATGATGTCAGAGGATGGAACTTTGCAGCTGTCAGAAGACGGATTTCAGAAAATGGATCTCTGATGTACAGCATTTGCAGTCGAGTTAGTAATTTTTGAGACCAGAACAATTAAATTCGATTCATGTTGTGGTTCTCGAATTTTGTGAAGAAGAAGCCTAATTTTGTAATATAATTTGACAAAGAGAAATTCACCGTCAAGATGATATGTGCCGGATATCTACAGGGAGGTGACCTTACGTGTCTTTGTGAGCTGTGCCTATTTTTATTTTTGCCTACTTTTTTCCACTACCCCCTCAAATATTGCAAATTTTCTTTTTTTGTAATAACTATTGATGGTGGTGCAGCTACATGAGAAAACTTTTGTCTATAAGAACAATTTTTTGAAAGAAAAAATTATTTCAGAGTAGTTGTTTTGATCATCATGCACATCATAATCACACTAGGACTTCCATGAATTAGTTTTCAGAACAGAGTTTTAAACAATGGGGGTAGTAGCAATAAACCGCATGTTAACATCCAAGCTAAAAATCAAAAGTTGATGTTGTAAAATTAAGAAACAAAAAGAATTTTTGTCATGATGAGTTTGTTCTTATTTTGTCTATAAAAACACAAGAACCTCTGTATGTTGTTTAGCTAAAATTTGATTGGAGGTGACAAGGAGGACCCTTGGTCGCAATTAGGTGTCACGGGACTCAATAAAGTGTCAAAAAACTGGGCGGAAAATCTATCGGACCAAATGCATGACAACGTAGAGGATAATACAAACTGACTACTTATTTAACAATTGTCTTGTTTTCTTTTGGAGCAACCAAAAAATAAGTGGACGCAAGCAAAGTACAAGCATGAGCTCTTTGATGATTAAAAAATTTCGAGCAAATATCGTTTCAATTTCAAAACTCCATCCCCAAATTTCAATCTAGCCTTTTGGTGACCTCCTGCAGAGAATGAAACTAATAATTAGTCAGCTTAATGAGAGAAATGCAAAAAAAAGAGATAAAGTTTGCTGTTTCGGATGACAAAACTGAGTCATCATCAACTGATAACTACCAAAAACTATTGTCTCTAGAAAGTTTTTAAAAAATTTCGTAACTGATCTATACACAGCGATAATGTCTTTACCGAATGCATCAGTAGCAGGTCCGTATTAATTATTTACTGAAAATTTTAAAGATCTTGTAATTATTTTCAATGGCAATGCAGAACTTAATTTTGTGACATCACTTATTATGCTCATACACCTCATTGCAGTTGGCAAAATACCCGAACCCTTGGTTACCATTTTCGCGGAAGACCTATGATGATGCAAAAGAGGAAACACAACCAGGCAATCCTGCAGCTCATAGTTTTTTTTGTGGGAGCAATTTAGACCTTAGACAAAAATTTGAATTTTAACATCTATTGTTCAGATCATAGAAATTCAGCCGACGACTATAAGGTAGTAGTGCAAAGCCTAAAAACATTCAAAAAATGGAGCAAACTTACGGCCTGAGCTTGTTCACTGAAAAATACAAACATTTTTGAGACCTCATGAAAAATTGCTTTAGCGTGCCAAAATTTCTTTTTTTTGCATACGAGACAAAGTACTATGGTTCGACAAAGTACTAGAAAACTCAAAAAGGAGAATAACGAAAGGTGTCTTTGGATGTTTTTTTTGATCGTCTGAATGCCTTTATAAGTCAGAATTTATCTTTTATAGCCACGACAGTTATACAGAATCGATCAAAAGCGACATATAATTTGACACTCGCTTCATCTGCTGTTGGTAATCAGCTCTTGGTGGATGTTACGGTAGTAGACTACATGGCCCTCAGTAGGATTTGTGTGGTGTCGGTTCGTAAACATGTTTTGATATCTTTTTCAACTGCTAGCTTTTGAGATTCAGAGCGCGACCTGCCCGGCCCTATCACGGAGATTTTTTGAGCAAGCTTTCCAAAAGTCTAAGCATATGTACTGATTAAACCAGGACAGGCAGCTTTTCAAAACAAAGAATCTCCCTGGCATTACAGATTGCGAACGCCGTTTGCCTACTCGACAAAAAAGACAAAATAACTTTCGACTTATTCATAAAGATTTCCTCGTGTCGAGCTACGTGTTCTAGTTGAAAAAAAAAATTAAATCAAAAATAAAATGAGTTCAATTTGAACACACCAAGAATAGTCATCGCTTTATTATCACTTTCATATGTAGAAATTTTCATAGTTTTTGATGGAATATGCGATGAAGGGACTCCTAACTTAACTGTAGCCTCGGTTACTATGATACTTTTGATCTTCTAATTAGATCGAAGTAGGAAAAACAAAAATTATATAAAAAATCAACTAAATGAATATGAAAGCCTCTCCAAAAGATACCGTCCATGTATCAACGCATTAATCGATAAGCAGCTTGTGTGTTGAGACAACAAAATTTTTTTAAAAGGAGAAAATGAAATCGGAGATGACAAGGAACAAAAATTGACTACAAGCTATATCAATGAGTCAAATCATTCTCACTGTACATAGACTGTTGGACCTGTCAAGAAAACAAATAAGGACGCAGTCATAATGAGTCATTACAATCTGGTTTGCCTAACTGAAACCACACTCGTCCTGGAAATAACAGACGATTCTTCATTTCTCCCTGACTACCCAACCTCAGGAAAGAAAAAACAAGGAACACTGACAAAATAAAAAAGGTTTTGTACCTATCTTTGTTAGATGTGACATTCCTTTAATAAAATTAAACTTAGAG